TGATTTTGAGCCCCCGAAACGAAAGACTCAGGCAACGAACTTGTTCTGGCCGCATACACCGCCTTTTTCTCCATTTTTTTGCTCCATGAATGTGTCAAGTCAATCGCTTCCTGCCTTAATGGAAACTTTCACTTGAGGCAAGCGAACAAAACACTAGCATTAGCGGTCGTTTCATTAAACAAATTTCAGGAAATATACATTTTTTACACATACATAAACTCTACTCTTTCCTTTTTATTTTGCACTCAATTGAAGTTTGCCCTGGGGCCAAAGTGGCGATTGGCGATTGGATTTGAAACAATGAGCCAAGTCGAATCTGTCGATTATTTAACGATTTTATATATATAGTGCGCTATCCTCTCCTGAATTTCTTTCATTGGGGCTTCTTTCTCTTTTTTCTTTATATATGTATAAATGTTTTTGTATTGTATCTTGGCCTAGCAATTACTTTACGAAGGCCGCTTCTGCTTATCCCGCAAATACATCTGGCCAGCAGCAGTCGATTGTTAATAAGCGTGTTGGCCTTATCACAAAAGCGTACTTTCATTGTCTTATTTGGGTGTGGGTGTGTCAGTTTTTTGGGGGGGAATTACAAACTGATGAATCGATATTCGGCACGTGCCGTTAATGAAGTCAAAGTAGGGGGCAAATCGCTTTAGAAAGCTCACCACTGAGAAACAGGAAACAAAAGTTGTAAATACCCCAAAAAACCTATTCATTCGTTTCATTGATATTTTCAATATTACAGCACCAATTAGATATATATCTCCTACATAACATAAGAATATCAAAATGTGTGGGCTCTCTTATACTGTTTTATAACCCAATTCTTGTCGAACCATTTAGGCATTTAATTTATTATCTCCCGCAGTTGAAATACCTTTTGTTATTGATATGATTTTTGATTTTTTTTTATTTTGGACCCATTTCTTACGAGTTTTATGGAGCAACTTTATGCGCAGCTGTCAAGAGTCGCAAAGATCGAACGCAAAATGGTCAATTTTATGGCTCAATATGGAGAGTCAGGCTCAGCAAAATGCCTGAATTAATAATAGTAAAAAATATCAAATAAACAGTTGGCAATTTGACATCTTTTTTATATAGTTATTTTTGGCATATTGATGGTCGTTAATAGATAGAGTCAAATTGAAAAGAAATGTCAATGACGGACAGACGAATGAATGAACGAACGGCTGGCTTTAGCTCCCGAGGCTCTTTCGAGAGACTCTGGAGCTCTTTAAAATGCAAAGCGGCTGCCAAAAGCTGGTAGAAGTAACAAAAGTATAATGGAACATAAAATTTATTAATTTTTATAGGCATTATTTGTAAGTTGTATATATATATTTATTCATTTCCCTGTTTCTCACAGCTGCGGCAGCAGCAACAAGTGCCAAATTTGGTCTGAGGTTCTTGACCATCAAGCACACACGCACCTGGAGCTTTATTTTGCATATTTTGTTCGATTTTAAATGAAGTCACGTTGCACTCGTAAAGTTGATATTTATGTTTGTCATTATTTTTATGCTTTCTGCTTGTTTTCCTCTATTTTTTTTCAGTCTTTTTCATATAAATATTGTCGTTTTGGTGTGTGTTGTGTGTCTTGTTTGGAGGCCTCCCCCCTGCCCCTGATACATGTGTTGCTACAACAATGTCTTGTTTTCCTTTTGGTGGTGGCGTTAAACAATAGTTAACAACTTTATTTGTGTGCTTATATGCACTTAACGCTCTTGGCCATTAAGGCAGCAACTCCTCACGTTTCGGCTGCCATTCACCTGAGAATGAGAAATGCCAAAGCGGCATGCTGCCACAGAGCTGCCTTTTTTTGTCAGCTAATGAAGCAGCAGCAGCAGCGGCAGCAGTTGCAGTTGTGCTGTCGAGGTTGCAATGTTGCAGGTTGCACGTTGCACGTTGCAGGTTGCAGGTTGCTGGTTTGCCGGCAGAAGCCGCCACCAGTCATCGCACAGCGTCTGTCAGTCCACATAAAAGTCAGAGATGGCTATGAAAAATCACCAAAACGAATCGCTAAACAGCCGCAAAAATGCACTCGAAATGGGGCATGCCGAATTCGAGACGCAAAAATCCATACTCAAATTATTCGGTGAAAATGCAGCCTTTGTTTCTGGTTTTTTCTTAAATTGCCGACAAATGCGGTTGCAGGGAAAGTGGAACGGGAAAATGAATTGCAATCCTAATTGATTTATTTTAAAATGGGAAATACAAATTCAAGGCTTTAAGCTCTACACTTCATCATCATAAATTAATTAACATCATTTTATTAATAAAGTTTTCCAACAATTTCCGAAGGTTTAGCCAATAAATCATAATTATAGGCACCTCCAAAAGCAGCGAAATGACACCTCTCTAAAAAGTGATTACCTTCAGCAATTGACCCTTTTAATAATTATAATTTTTATGAGAGTGAATAAATCATGTCTTTAAATCTCTGCATTGAATATGAATCACAGACAGACCCAGCTGCAGTTTTACAGCGTCAAAGCATTAGACCCAATTCATCAACACTCCAAAAGGGGTCAAATCAATAAACAAAAAAACATAAAATAACCCAGAGACAAATGGGTATATAACTCGCATTTAAACTCCCTTTGCAATTTATGTAAATTTTTATATGTACATAATGCCCATTTATTGACTCTCGGCCATCAAGAAGCAATCACCGAACGCAGACAGCAACAACATATTAAAAGAATCATAAATAAATAAAAATAACTTGGCGTGTCAGTTTGCGGCTCAAAAAATAAAGAAAAGAAATTGAATATTACAAGTACCTGGACATAATTTCACCAACGAGAACCCAAAAGGCAAACCAAAAGAAGTGCCCGAAAAGAACAACAGGTTCATAATTGAAATTCATGTTTGTGGTTCTTGTCGCTTGTCAAAGAGTTACCGTTCGCAGTCGCTGTCACAGTCACAGTCACAGTCACCGGTCACAGTCTCGGTTTGCCCCAAAGTCCAATCGAAGTCAATGGGGGAGAGAGAGACCTAAGCCTAAGCCACTTAAAGATTCCGCGAGCCTGCCAAGGCAACGCTCCACGCATTCTTATGAGGTCATTTGCGTGGGGAGCCCACTAAATGCTCCATCAGAACCTTTGCCAAGTTGGAAAACTCGAAAACTTGGTTCGTGGAAAACCAAACAGTGGGACCTAAAAGCCAAAAGTGTTCAATACAATAATACAAAATATATATAAGGTTTAAAAGCGATAAAAAAACATTGTTAATCGATAGAAAAATATGTCTTCTATGATTAAAAACCTAAATTACAAGCAATAGTTATCGATTTTTGTCTATTTGGGCCACCATGCTCTGCACATTACTCATACGACCCGTAAGGAAACACACAAAATCTATTAAAATTATCACACGCCATGTTGACCTCAGCGGCGAGCAAACATTACTCAAAAACCCAAAAAATAAACCCCAAAAGTGAAAAAGAAGTATGTAGGTACCGTTTTGTGTAGATCTGGCAAAAAAAATAAGAAAAATGGAAAATAAAGCGACCGCAGCCAATAAAATGAAAAATGCTGGCACAAAAATATTGCAGCTAAAATAATTTGCCACGCTCGTAAATTTTCAGCTCATAAAACAGAAACGAGGCAACACACAACACACAACACACACATTTGCTCGGGGGAGTGAGTCAGTGTCGAGCATTTCTCGAATTGAGTCAGATTTTTCGTATGGTTTCTGCTAGGTTTTATGGCTAAGGCCTTTGCTGATCGACAGTTTGTTTGATATATGGGCCCTTGGCCACCATCATTTGCATGTGAAAGGCACATCGAGAGAGCTGCCCCAGAGACTGGACTCGACTCTGAGTTTTGGATTTGAGTTCATAAAAAAATTTCACTAATTTGCCAAATGATTATTATGTTTGCCTAAACAACGTTAAGTGTTGCCATAAATTAGCCAAAAGAGCCAGAGTTGTTTCCCCACAAAAAAACAAAAGCCAATCAACAAAAGAAAAGAGTTTCAAAACTAAAAATAAACAATATTCTAAGACGATGAAAATTCTATAAAATAGCAAAGGAAAGGAAGTGAGATTTGATGGGTAAATCATACCCAGAATTAGCAATTCGTAGGCCTCAAAAAGTCTGTCAAAGCTAAATCTTTTAGCATGACAAAAGAGTCGTTTTTTAGCGCTTTTCTAAACGTTCTCATTTGTTTCACAGAAATATATATTTGTATATTCAAATTCCAGTCAAAACGAATGACTTAGGCAACGAACTTGCATTGGCTCTCGAAAAGCGCATGAGCATTAAGACCCACTCGAAGCTCACAGCTCCTTGGGTAATAAAATAAAAATCAAAATCGAAATAAAAATAAAAATAAAAATCAGACGACAAATCTACACGGACAACAACAAATTTCAAAGTCAAGCAAACGAAATTGAAGCAAAGAATGCAATAAATTAAAAACAAAAGCCAGAGAAGAGAAATGAACGTAAAGATAAAAGGCAAATGCGGTGGGGATTTGATTCCAGATTGCGTTCAAGTGGCAGTCGAAAGTGTTGCAAGGCGATAAAAGTTTAATCAAATTTATGGTAGGGATAGAGGGGGGCAGAGATAGAGGTAGATGAGGTTCAAGCTCCAAAAGAAGAAGAAGGTCTCAAGCTCAAACTCTGATTGCCCAATGGGTTTTATAAGAGCTACTCTCGCTGAAAAGCACACAAGGAAAAAAAAGATATCAGTACTATAATGAGTTGAAATAAATTTAAAAATAATTTACTTAACTGTGAAACTGTATTAAGCTTTAGATTTTGTTTAATATATATTCGAAAATGTATACAAAGTAATTTTAAATCCTAAATCAATAAGATATTCTTGTTTAGGTAACGTTTATACTTTCCAAAATATTTAGTAAATCCTAAATCTTATATAGAACCTTCATTTCCCATAGAAACCCCCTTTATATTCCCTTGCTTTGCATTTTTCTCAGTGTATGCTTTATCTCTGAAACTCATTGGATTTTTCTCTTTCTTATTACAGTCCCCGGAGTTGGACTATCGGCACGAGCTGATGGGACGTCTGCATAAAATCGAACCCGCCGATGTTGAGTTGGAGGTTCTTGCTGCAGCTGCTGCAGCATCCAACAACAACAACAATTCCAGCAGCAACAATAATAACAACAACAACAATAGCAGCAACAACAGCAGCAGCAACAACAGCAGCAATGGCAGCCAGACACCAACCAGCAACAACAACAACAACAGCCTGACAGCCGCCACAGTTGGGAGCCATCAGCAGCATCAGTTCCATCATCACCTGCACCACCATCACTCGCATTCGCATCAGCATCACCACCAGCACCACCACCTGCATCAGCAGCAGCAACAGCAGCAGCAACACCACCACACCCACAGTCTGCAGAGCGGCGAAAGCGGAGCAGGAGCAACAGGAGCAGGAGCGGTAGAGTCATGGCATCCGCATCCCCAGTACCCCAGTGACCAACAGCAACTCCAACCTGCCGGATCACCCAACTCCAACTCAAACTCCGCGTACGGATGTGCTCCGCTCTATGATGGAGCGCCCTATGAGGTGGCTTTGGCCTATGGAGCGGCCAGTGGAGCCACAACTGCAGGAAGCAGCGATAAGGAGTATCTGTATGGTGAGTTTCGGGGTATAAATTAAAGGATTATATCTTAAAGATATAAAGAAAAATTATAAAGAGATGTATACTATTGAATTTCTTGGGTATTTAGCTAAAAGATTGTGTGTTGTGTGGGCTCCATTTGGGTCCACAAAATTACACGCATGGTGAAATCTCACAAGTCAATAGTAAAATGTAGAGAAACACCAGCAAATGGCAGCTTGTTTGAGGTTCGATGCCGAAATGTGAAATTTAAAACTCTACGAAAATAATAAATAAAAAGATGTAGACAAGCTGGAGACGCTTTAGCTTAGAAATATTTTTTGAGGCATCAACGAAACATAAATGAGCTGTAATAAAGTGAGTTAATATTAGACAGAAAATAGAAAAGAAATTGGAATAAAGTTTTAAGAGAAGAAATAGAAGCAGGAACAATGATTTATAGCTTTTATTTGCTATTAGTTCCTCAGCGAAATACCCTTTAAAAAACTATACACTCCATCAGCTAATTTAAGCCTCATCTTTTAGCGAATAGTATCTACTTGGTATTGTTAGATCTTCCTCTAAAAATAGTTAAACAAATTGGCAGCTGTTTTGAAATTTCATGCATATGCGAGATTTCATTGTGTACCTATTCATTGATTATTTGCATAATGCGTTAGCAGGCGATTATAATTCGATTTCTGTTTGTTTCTTTTCACTCTCTAGAAACCAAAAACAAAGAGGCTGCTCTGTATGCCGATCCGCTGGACGATCCCTATCAGCGGCCGGTGCTTTGGGATGATATTACTACCTCAATTCAAAATATCGATCCAGAGAATGCGCTCATGCTGAGCAGTCACAGTGGGAATAACAATAATAACAATAATGGCAGTAGCAGCAATAACAGCAGCAGCAGCAGCAACAACAGTGGCAGCAACAACGACACTGCAGCAACATCGCAACTGCCGCAGGTCAAGATGGAGGCAATCGATGAGAGTCTCCTGGAGACCTTCTCCACACCACTGCTCAGTCCCCTGGAGATCAAGACCGAGAAACAGCAGCGACATCAGCAGCAACAGCAACAGCATCAGCAGCACCAGCAACACCAGCAGCAGCAATACCAGCAGCAGCAGCAACACTATCAGCAACATTATCAGCAGCAGCAGCAGCAGCAACAGCAGCACTTGTACCAGCATCACCCCAGTCTGGCGCTGTCCGGACTGCCACCCGCCGTCGAGGTGGTGGAGTTGCAACTCCACCAACAGCAGCAGCAGCAGCAGCAGCAGCAGCAACAGCATCTGCAGCACAGTGGCAGCAGCAGCCCCAAGCTGGCGGTAACGACCCCCGGCGACAGTGGCAGCAGCAACACCTCCTCCTCCTATCAGCAACAATACGCATCTCAATTGGTTGCCGGATCCAGCGGTGGCTATCTCAACGGTAGCAGCAGCAACTCCTACGGCTACAGCTGGCACAGCAGTCAGGTGAGTGACTCCTCTCCATCTTAAGATTAACTTGCAACACTGTTCAAAAATATTCACTAAAGCCTAGAGTTCTATTATTCTATTATTACTACTTTTCTAACTCCTTTTCTCTATGTGCTTATGCCCCGCAGACCTTCCACACCAAATACCAAATACACCCGCCATCAGTTGCCGCCGCGGTGGCAGCCACCGCCACTGCCACGCCCACAGCTCAAATCGGTGCTCAACAGCAAACGCAGCAACAGCAACAGCAGCAGCAGCATGCGCAGCATCAACAGCTGCAACAGCTTTGCCCCCCGGCGGCGCCCAGCACCCCCTCGGCCTCGCTATCCTCCTCGTCGGTCTCCTCCTCATCGCTCTCCTCCTCCTCCGCCAGTCGCCACATGTTTGTCCCACCGCTAACGCCGCCCAGCTCGGATCCCGGCAGTCCAGGATCCTCGATGGTGGCTGCAGCCGCTGCGGCAGCTGCCCAGCGGCGCACCACCCCACCGCCACCGTATCAGCAAGGTCATGTGTTGGGAGGGATTTGTCCCAGTTTGGTTAATCCATCGCCCACGCTTCAGCTTCTGGGAGGAGGAAATGGAGGTGTCACGGGGAGTGGCAGCTCCACGGCCACGCTCACCACTCTCACGCCCGCCAGTGCCATTGCTGCAGTGCAACAGCAGCAGCAGCAGCAGCAGCAACAGCAGCAGCAACTTCAAACGCAACAGCAAGTGTCGCAACAGCAGCAGCCGCCACCCGCCACCCCCGTACGTCTGGGGGCGGTAGGCGTGGTCGGCATTCGCATCATCAGCCGGGAACAGCGGCGCACATTGCAAGCCTAATGAGCGTTCGCACCGTGCGTTATAATCGCCGAAATAATCCCGAGCTGGAGAAGCGACGCATTCATCACTGTGATTTTGTTGGTGAGTTTCAATGGAATATTATGAAAAATATATAGATTTTCAAGATATATCTAAAGGGAGCATATCAAACTGATAAATAGGAATTGATTTCTAAAGACGTAAGGGGATGTTGTTGTCTAGAGATCTTGGACACTGCGTTTCCTCAACTCTCGTTATCATTCGCTGCATGTTTTTCTCTCGTTTATCTTTTCGCACGCTTTGCGACACTTTTCATAACAAAATAACCCCCCTTTTGAGACCCACTTTTGAAACCCCTTTAGGCCCCCTTTAGACCCCCTTTAAGACGCCCCCTGTGCAGCCCAAAGCACCTCCACGTGCGATCCTCATTGCGCATGCGTGACGCGTTTTTCCAATCGGCATTTATTTATTCTCTATTTATCTATACATTTATTTATTATCTTTCTGGCTTCGTCTGTATTTTTTGTTTTGCTATTTTTTTTTACTGACAGTTCCCAGTTTGCCATTCGCTGGTGTCACTGCCGCTGTTGTGGCGCTTTTTCTATTTTGCCTTCTTTGTAATTCTAATTAGGCAATAGCCATATTTATGTAAGAGCTTCAAAGTCAGCTTCCTTTGTTACAGTTGCAAGCTTTCCTTCTTGGCCATGAGAGGTGATTGATGGTAGAAAATATATGTGATAGGAAGTCAGGGAAGTAATTAACTTGGGTGTAAAGGTTCCTATATCAAATATCCATCAATTAATCTCTCAAATACCTAACATCATCTCTCGTACATCGAATCTAAATTTAGCTTTCAAATACCATTACAAAAAACCAAGTAGCTTAATCTCGTCAAGATCATCCCAAGAATCAACCAGAGATGAGATCACAACACTCTTTGCTTCAAATAGAATTCCCCGCTCTATCGCCACTGTACCATCCATTAGCTTGGATCAACTTTTAGGGGCTTGAAAGCACTTAAGGCCAAACTGCTGTCTAAGTCAGTCTCTGAAAATTCACGAAAAATCCCAGTATGTCCAAGTGTCCAGAGTGTCCCTTGTTCAACTTCGATTCGGATTCGACTACGTGCGTTGCCACTAATAAATAATTGACAATTGTCTGACACGTTTGCCATGGCCATTTTAAGAGCCAACTATGGCTATTCGCTATTCGCTCGATGCCAGCAGAAAAGCCGTCTAAATGAAGTTATTATGCCATAAGCGCACGCATCAGACCCGATACTTGGCAGTGAGTTATGTCTGGAGTTCCTACGATTCGGCTGTGAATTTGGCTTTGTTTTTTTCTTTTTGTATCTATCTCCAACTGTCCAACTATCGATCGTTGCAATTTCAGTTTGCAGGTTTTGCCAGAGTCAGTGCTGGCTACCTCGATCTAAGAGTTTCTTTTGGTAATAAAATTGTTGAAAATTTATTTACTAACTTTGGTGCATTACTTTTTGGCTTTTTTTTCTCTGTTAAAGTTGCCAGAACTATCTTCAAGTTGCTAGTTGCAAGTTGCATTGATAGTTGGTTGTCAGCAACATTCTTCACTGGCATTGGGGCATTGTGTTTCGTGGCACGTTGCTTCGAGTACGTGCGGGGATCGCTAGTTTGTAGACCCAATCCTCGGGCATCCTTTTAAGTGCCTCATAAATGTCACCAGCTTTGCGGTGGCGATGTTGCAAGCAACAGCAGGTTGCCCCATTGCAAAGTGAATCTCGTGCAACTTTCACCCGCTAATTAAAGGACCACGCCCGTTGACCCACTTTCTGGCCACTGATGGTCGAGATGGGAGTTGTTACTCTGCAGAGAGGCACCTCTAATGTTGTTGATAAGGTTTTAGTAACGATATACTGCACACTTTAGAAAGCCATTACACATCTTGTGAATTTATATCCTCCCATTTCCTTTTTTTATGATATCTAAATATATTGTTTATTATTTATTTTTATTCTAACTTTTATGTCTGCGTTGCTTTCTTTCAGGCTGCTCCAAGGTGTACACAAAGAGCTCACATCTAAAGGCCCATCAAAGGATCCACACGGGTGAGTTTTCCATTAAAATAAGCTGCCCACTCTCAATGACCCCGGGTCTGACCCCCCTGTCACAGTCTGGACCACTGCAATCCCTCAGTACTCGCATGTGGGTTGCACTTTTCGGGAAAAACTAAAGCTACATAAAATATATATATGTATATTATATAGTGAACCACCGATGAGCCACCGGCAAGCAGCTGCACTCTCGGCTTTACTTTTTTTGGGACGTTGGGCAACCGTCGCCTTTTGATTAATTCGCGCGCTCATATTTGTAGTTGCCAGCACATAATTTGCCAAGGCCCAGAGAGCTTCGAGCGCCTTTTTTTCTGCGAGTGTCTAGCACTGCGAGAAATTTGTAGATACCAGATGAATATTCAGATTACAGATAAATGAAATTAGAAATAAATATGCCAGGAAACTGAGAAATCTTTTAGAGAAGAAAGGAACCCAGAAGATGTTTCACAATATAATCCAGAAAATATTATTTTCAGTTAAAGTTCATACAAAAAAATAAATGTTCTATTGATATGGCTCCTCCTAAACTATAAAACTTTCATTTTGATATTGAAATTGTTTTCTGTGTTATGATTTTCGTTGATTTTCAATTTCTGCGCCACGGAGGCAAAAACCACAGCGAAAATCGTGATTTGTACGGTTTGTTTTTTTGTGGCTGAGGCTCCGTTTTTTCCGCTTCTTTTTTTTTCTCTTATTTTGTGGTCAGTTGCAAGTTGGCCCGTTTGCCAGTTGCAACATCGGAGATCGGCAATCGCCAACGCCATCAGCTGGGCGCACGTTTGGCCTGCATTTCCTCCTTGCTCGGATTACACTTGACGTTCCTGTTGCCCGTTTTGCGCTGATCACCTGTCTTCGTTTTATGGGCCGCACGTTTAATGCCCAGGTTCACAGAGGAGCAACAAAAAACAAAATAATAATAATCATAAAAGCAAGAATCCCATCTCTCCTCCGCTGTTTTATTAATCGCACATGACCAGCTGATTTATGCGCTACTTAAAACGCTGCCTTAAAAAACATTTTTATTATTATGATTTTGTTTTTTCTCTGTGCGCAACGCGCTGATTTTCACTTAACTGATAAAGTTAACGCCCATCAAGGCGGTAAGGTCGCACCGGTATATAACCTTAGTGGATTTGAATTCAGTTACCAAGTTCCCTTAAGGTTCTTTAAGGTTATATGAAGTCCGGGTTTCGATTTATTAGACTTTCCGCTAAGAGATATCTTTGCATTTTGCAATTCCTTGACTCGAGTGCTGCTACCGTTTGATGGCTGTCCGTTTGTTTGGCTTTCAAGTTAGTTGAACGGCGTTCCGCTGGCCCAGCCCAGTTTGGTTCAGTTTAGACCAGGCCCGGCTCATTCATGGTCTTGGTAGATCTTTACAGATCTCCCCCCGTGGCGCCACACACTCACACACACACATTTTTCATGCCATTTTTGAGGCGCCACCAGACTGTTGTCTCTGCTGATTAGCAACGCTCGACTGGGAAGTGTAGAGATATTTGCCAGAGAAAAGAGAGGAAAGACTGCCGACCGATTTCCACCGCAAATATTTGTCAAAGTCGTCAAGTTCGTTGCCTAAGTCTTTCGTTTGCTTACGCTGCAAAGAGGCCAAAGGAAAACCATTGCCAGAGATGCTCAGACGTGTTTTTTTCTTGCGCTCTCGTTTTGTATTAAAGATTGATTCTAACCACCGGGGTTAACTTAAATTTTCTAATTTGTGTTTATAACTTCTCGTTCACTTCGCGTGTGCATGCAGCTATACTATTTTGTGTACATAATTGGCTTTATTTTCCAATTTAGTTGTGCTGCTAGTGTTAGCTTTTGCATATTTTGCATTCCTTTTTGTGCCTTCTTCGTCTAGCTTTTGTTTGCGCCGTCGCAACAGCTAAACGTTTTATCTATCTATCTCCCACGCTCTCTCACTCTCTCGCTTTAGCTGTGCCGCTGCACTTCTTATCTAATCTAATCTCATTCGCTCTCCCGCTCTCTCGCTCTCGCTGTTCATATCTCTGTTGTTATTTTTTCCAAGTACAAGTACAGTGGTAAGTCCTAATAATGTCCGGAAATATTGTCTGTTTAGTGAAAACCTGCAAAAAGGCAGTTGTTGCAGGTGACCTTACAATCGGCTGCTGGCTGTGCGACAACGTCATGCACGCCAAGTGTATTGGAGTTGCAGCTCGGACGGTGGACGATGTAAAAAAAACATCGGTCTGCGTTTCTGTTGTGAGGCCTGTCGCGATGTAGAAAGGGAGATGATGTCTTTCATGCGGCAAACCAAAAGCGGTTTTAAGGGCATTTTAACGAGTTTTCGGAAAACTCTTGATATGTTCTTGGCGCTGGACACCCAATTTAATAGCCTTACGCTATTAAATGAGTCTCCTAGGCGCAAAAAAACTGCTACTGGTGGGCAGCATGTAGACGGACCCCAACTACCTGCAACGGGCTCTCAGCAGCAGCCTCCCTCGGCACAGCCCTCGACCTCAGCATTAATTCCAAGAGTGCTGAGATCGAGCGCTAGAAAAGATTCGGTATCCGAATGTGCAGCGGGAGTGCCCGTACCGCCGTTGATTTCTGTTCTATCGCCTGGGGGGTCGCAAATATTGACCCCTCAAAGTCCCGTTCACATAAATATATCTTCCCAGGGTGTTAGGCCCGGAATACCGGCCGACAATGGCACGGCGGATAACCAATCTGCCTTGCCAAAAGCCCTTATAGCTGTTCCACCAACGAGACATATTTTTGTCTCGCGGCTCTCCCCTGACCAAACATCGGAAGATGTTCTCGCCTTTATACAAGGCAAAACCAGAGCCGAAAAAATTAAGATAAAGGTGGAAAAATTCAAATTTTCTTACGCAAGGGACATTTCATCTTTCAAAATAAATGTCCCTAACGAGCTCTTTAATACTATTTGCTCTCCCAACTTCTGGCCAGAGTACATAGTTGTTAAGGAGTTCGAGGCGAAGAAAAAGAAAAAGCGGCCTGTAGGAATAACTCTACCCAGGCCTGATCATACCACTGCGCCTTCTACGTCTTCCAATCCCGATCCAAAAAACTAACCCACTCCCTAGGTATTTCCTATCAGAATGCAAGAGGCTTACGTAGTAAGCTTCCTAACTTGTATTCTGATAGCCTTTCGTTTGTATCTCAGGTTATTGTGCTCACAGAAACCTGGTTAAAGCCGGAGATTCTGAGCTCCGAAGTTTTTCCAGCTGTGTTCACGGTATATCGGCTAGATCGCCCTGTCAGACGCGGGGGTGGAGTTCTAATAGCGGTGGACTCCTCACTCACGTCAGAATTATTAACCTTCGAGGAATGTAACGATGTTGAATTCCTCTGTGTGAAGCTATCTATCAAAGGTAGCTCCATTTTTATTACCTGTTCCTACATACCTCCACTGTCGGAACTTCCTATTTATTGGAATCACCTTTCCGCTATTCAGATGGTTTCCAGTAGACTTTTGGATAGAGACCAGTTGGTAGTTCTAGGAGATTTTAATATCCCTGGTGCTATTTGGTGCTCAAATAATTCCACCAATACTCTCCATACACCTACACAACATGACTTTATCGCTGGCTTGTTTGACATTTCGCTGTCTCAAGTCAACCATGTTCGAAATTCCTTACAGCGCTTGCTCGATCTTTGCTTCGTCTCTGATCCTGCGAGAGTCAGTTTAGCAAGGGTGGCGCCTCTGACGCAGCCCGAAGATCCTTATCATCCAACTTTCGATGTGACTCTTGATATTGGGTGTGACGTACAGAATATTTCTGATCGTCCAGCCAATAAAGTCCTATGTTTTCGCAAAACGGACTTTGAACGGCTGAATAATTTTATAAACGATTTCAATTGGTCCGATCTATACATGTGCACTGACATGGCAGTTGCCGTGGATATTTTTTACAGCGCCATGAATTCATTTTTTACTGAATGTGTTCCGTTACATTATCCGCCAAGCTCGAATAAACCGCCGTGGTTTACTAAAGAGTTGAGCCGACTTAAAAATAAAAATCTAGACTGTATGCTAAATTCAAAATCACCGGTTCTCAATCTGCCCTTTCATTTTATTTATCAGCTCGGTCAAACTTTACCGTGCTGAACGCGCAGTGTTATAAAAACTATTTAACTCGTTGTAGGGCCCAGTTCTCACAGGACCCAAAACAGTTTTATAATTTCGTTAACACTAAACGTAAACCTAAAACAAATCCTTCCTCGCTTTCATTTGAAAATACTACCGCAAATAATGATCAGGCAATAGCCGATCTATTTTCGCAGTTTTTTCAAACAACCTATTCTAGCTCTTCGTATCTACACCAGACCTATTCCTACGACATACCCAAATCAAACTTAATTTTCTGTCCCAGCCTAAACGAAAGCTCTCTCCTTTTAGATCTTCATCGTGTCAAGCCAGTTTATTCGCCAGGTCCCGACGGAATTCCTGGCTGTGTGCTCAGGTATTGCGCCGACGCCCTGTGCTATCCCCTTCTGAAATTGTTTACCTTGTCCTTAGAAACCTCCCACTTTCCCATTATTTGGAAGGAATCGTTTATTATTCCTCTCCACAAAAAAGGTAGCAAATTGGATGCCAGCAATTATAGAGGAATCTCTAAGTTGTCGGCCATCCCAAAATTATTTGAAAATATTATCACCCCTCATTTACAGCACCTTTGTAGATCGGTTATTTCTCCATGTCAACATGGTTTTATTAAGCGAAGATCAACAACAACAAATCTTTTGGAGCTCTCTTCCTATATTATAAAGGGCTTCCATAATAATTGTCAGACAGATGTAATCTATACTGATTTCAGTAAAGCTTTTGACTCTGTTAACCATTCTCTCCTCGTTAGAAAACTCGATTCAATGGGTTTTCCAAGTGATCTTCTTAATTGGATCTCAAGTTATTTGAATGGCAGGACGCAAAAGGTCCTCTTTAAGAATAATTTATCCAATGTTCTAAGGGTTACATCTGGCGTCCCGCAAGGAAGCCATTTGGGACCCTTATTGTTTACATTATTTATAAATGACCTGCCCAAAGTCTTGACTAACTCCAGAGTACTTATGTACGCGGATGACGTCAAGCTTTGCGTGCAATACAATGACGTTGCCTGCCAGTCGGATTTACAAACAGATCTTAATAATTTTCAAACTTGGTGCCGTGTAAACTTATTAAACTTAAATGACTCGAAATGCAAGCTAATGACATTCTCACGTGTCGTTCCTAAGCTTGCTACTTACACGCTGAACTGCTGCTCTTTGGAAAGAATTAATTCTGTTGACGATTTGGGCGTCCGCTTGGACCCAAAACTTGACTTTATTGATCATATTTCGTCTATGGTGAATAGAGCCAGGGGTGTGCTTGGATTTATTAAACGGTGGTCGAAGGAATTCAATGACCCCTATGTTACTAAATCCTTATATACTTCCTTAGTTCGTCCTATCCTAGAATATGGATGCTGCGTTTGGAGCCCTCAGTACGGCGTCCATAGTAAACGCATTGAGTCGGTTCAAAAGAACTTTTTACTTTTCGCTCTACGCGGTTTAAATTGGGATGCAAACCAAAGATTACCTTCCTACTCTAGTAGACTCCTATTAATAAACTTGCCGTCCTTAGCCAATCGTAGAACGATGCTAGGGATAACCTTTATTTTTAACCTTATACATGGTGATGTGGAAAGTGCTGACTTGTTGAGTCAGCTTAATTTCCATGTACCATGTAGAACTACTAGATCCTATATCCCATTAGTGTTGCGCCACTGTAGGACCTCCTTTGAACTGCATGAACCTTTTAGAGTGCTATGTGCAAATTATAATGATTTGTACACACTAATCTCTAACGTAGATACCCTTCCTAAATTAAAATCTTTAATACTAACACACTTAGTAAGCATGCAAGCTAACAATCTGGCAGCACGCCGGTAGTTCAATTTTCCTCGTATTCTGTCCTATATTTTCCATCGCGCCTACTAACACCTAACCCTAACAGGCACGTGCCTGGTGTCATACGGGCCACTTGAATGTACTGAACTTAGTGCATCAACGTCCAAGAAAGTATAAATAGATAAATATTTCCCATATATAAAACTAGTCTCTATTATTTAAGAGATTTCCCGCCCACTTTCCACAGCCTCAATTTGAATCAGACTCCACTTCCTCTCATCTTCAGTTCTCCCATTAAAATGGAAAAAAAAACCTTGTGGCTCGTAAATTTGTCATTTTTATTTGGGCTTTTTGTTTTTATCTGGCTGCGTCGATTAGAAAATCACTTGGTAACTAATCTTTATGCAGCCGGCGAACGCATAAATTTACCATATCGTATCTCGACGGCTACGGCGACGGGACACGGGAAACTGCTCTTGGAACCCTGTCCCTAGGACTCAAACTGGCTTATTTTGTACTGATTTGTTTGCTAATATGTTCGCGCTGCCATAAATTAGTTTGATTTTATGCCCAGCAAACGACTGGAGGAGGTCTTTTGACTGGGTCTAGTCGAGTCTAGCCGCCGGCTCTCTCTCTTGTCCAGAGTTTGCGATTGGAGCCTGAATTTATTTATATTGCCGCCGAGTGGCCTTATCGCGGCCGTAAGGAAAATTATGAAGTAATTCCGTTGGTCTTATCGCGTTGCGTTCATCGCACATTACAAAACAACATTTACATAACTTTTGTCCATTGGATTTGTTTGTTTGCCGGCTTTGTGATTATTGCCAAAGTTTATTCCCACGGCCAGGGAGGTATTTTTCATCATTTAAGGCGGATTCTAAGTGTTGGCAAGATTTTTCAATCATTAAAAATAGTTAAAAAATAGGTAAATTAATTCTATACCCAAGAAGCCTTCAGATATAACTATTTCATGTATTTGATATCTATATATCTGATGTATATTTATTATTATTAACTAGAAATTTACCCCAAACCTTTATTTTTCAAGCTGAATAATGCTCAGTCTCTCAAAATTAAAAGTATTTTGGCTGAAAAAACTAGACATAACTGCTTGTGAGTCACTCATTTGGCAATTTCCAAATGGAAATGCCCCACGTGGCCGTCTAAGCCCCGCGATTATGCTCACAGTCCCGCATCTCGAAGGCATCTCGAGGCACTTAAGTTCATTAAAAGAGATCTAAATAAACCAATAAGTCACGCCACGAGTCGAGGGGCATTTGGGTTTCTATTCGAAAATCCCCGGCAAAGTGTCAGCTGAGTGCCACTCGAGATCTCTTGGCTTCGAGGGCCGCCGAAAAAAATATCCCAAATATCCGATCAAAACCAAACAAAATTTGTGCGTTTGTTCGATGTACAAAAAAATAATAATAAACAACCCAGAAAACCTCTTGCTTTGATGTTAACTGATATTTCGAAAACAAGATGGGTTTGAAATATGTTCGTGGGAGATATGAAAACTGGATGAATGCGAGGGAAAGTTGTCTAATATTAAATACATTCCAAGTTCTCTAAATTATATTTAAAAATAAATTAAATCAAAGAGTTATGTTGTAAGATTTAATTATAAATCATCCTATACATCTCCTTCAACATTCTGAAAACACAAGCAAAACTATTATAAATATGTAATAAAAATCACGTTTGAAAATTTGAAATTAGATTTCCTTAATTTCTTGACCCCTTCGAATCGAATCCAAAAATCCAATTCGAGCTTGTCCACGGATAATCCATTCGATTCGCTCCAAAATTCGCTGTCCCCAGCAAACAAAAAAAAAAAAATGTCAAGTTCAATCACAAATCTCCAACCGCAATAATTATTTCATTCAATTTCAATTTAAATTTGAACACAAATGTTTATGTTTATGTCGCATATACGAATTGTTGTTGGGTTTTCGGGTCTGGGTTAGTCATAAAAAGTAATGGAAATAACAAAGAGTTTTGCTCACCGGCCGGTGGAATGTTTGTTACTGTCGAATTGTACAGAAATACAAATGCCTTTTTGGCTGGCCAAATGCCTTGGCTTGGTAACAACCACAATGGTAATAGAAATCACAAAGTACAAAATGCAAAACATGTAAACTTGTGTAGCAAATGCAGCTGCCATTCTGTTGTCATTTTGCTAAAGTCACCAAAAAACAATAAAGTATCAATTATTTCTCAATTATTTGCTGAAACCATTCAGGTTTGCAAGGCTTGCTGAGGATTTGTAATAGAAATCCCTTATACCCTAATAAATTCTAATCCTGAATTAATTTCTTTATCAATTTCAGGTGAGAAACCGTACACCTGCCAGTGGCCCGAGTGTGAATGGCGTTTTGCCAGATCGGATGAACTGACTCGCCATTACAGGAAGCACACTGGTGCCAAGCCCTTCAAGTGCATCGTCTGCGAGCGGAGTTTTGCGCGAAGCGATCACCTGGCGCTCCATATGAAGCGGCATTTGCCGAAGAATAACAAATGAGGGCGGGCCCCCCAGGGGGAGGTAGCAGCTACAAAATCAACAACAACAACAACAACAACTACAACCACAATCCAAAGGACTTTAGCATAGATACAAAAATAAAAAACAAAAATGAATTCGTTTAGTTGAAAGGTTAACTACTACATGGTACACAATACATACATTCACATAACTATAATTTAGACACGCAGCTAACCAATGTACGACGGATACCATATATAGAGTGCATATGTCCCGCAAACTCAATTAACTCAAATGCAAAAGAAGTAGGCTAAGTAAATGAAATTACCACCTGCTTGTGAAGGACATCCTACTCTAGCAACTAACACGCCTAACCTATACCATAAATATGTATATGCATTACTTAGCGCGTCCCGCACCAGAACCCAGACGAAAGAGGGGTTTAGATTTAGTTGTAGGATTAGCTCACATGTATAGAATATATATTAAATCACTTCATATATAATTTACTAGATCTACATAGATGGTAAATCTGAATTTTGGAAAGCTAGTGAGTGTATACTCGTGTAATCTGTATTTATATCAAGATATCTGTAAGTGTCGTATACTGTTTCCAATCACCAAAAAGTGCTGGCACAAAAAAAAAAGAAAAGAAATGAACATCCAATAAACATTCGTGCAAAAAACCAAGTCCATACATGGTTTTCTTTAGTCGTAGACGATCGGTGCCTCCAGTCCCGGCTTGGCATACAAAGCGGTCCAGGATGTGGCCATTGCATCGTGCTGACTCCGCTGGCGCTTATACATGGTGGCAATGGACGCTTCCAACGGATCATCGGGATTCGGATCAGCCAATAGCGATATTATGGATAGAAGCACCTTGGAGACACTCAGGGCCGGCGACCACTCTCGACGCAATATATCCAGGCAAATGTACCCATTCGAAGAGATATTACAGTGATAGATCTTCGTCAGAAAGTATATCTTCGGCGGCGAGAAGGGATAGTTCTGGCCAAAGTGCAAATCCAAATGGAACTCTCCACCAGCGTATGGTGTGTCCGGTGGACCAGTAATTTTGGCCCTCCAATGGAACATGTTATCATCGATGACATCAACGGTGCAACCCTCCACCGGTTCACGCTGGAAGTCCCTCAGCTCGCGTTTAAGACGACCGGACACCACTTGACACTCTGGACCTGTTGGCGGCGGTGGTGGAAGCAAACGCGGTGCGCTCCCCAAGACGGAAAATGATACCGAACCCCAGTCTCCAAGGCCTACCATAGTAAAGGACGGTGTCCGTGGCTGAGACAAGGCAGCGGCAACTTCAATTTCACTTATAGGAGAGCTAGGTCCTGCTCTGCTGATGTTGCTGCTGCTGCTGATAATGTTGCTGCTGCTGCTGATGTTACTGCTATTAATGTTGTTAATGTGGTTGTTGCTGTTGCTGTTGTTCCGATTCTGGCGACTTCCAGTGGGTATGGCGGCTGGTAATACGCCAAGTGCTTCAGCTGCAACCTGACGGACACGGGCCACGTTGGCGTTCGACAAGCGGCGAGTCCGGTTGGCACGAATTCTCGGGGCATTAATGACCCGCGAGTGTGTGGCAACCGTTGACGCATTGGGTGGAGTCGTTTCGTTGGCATCTCTTACAGTCTGAATGGCGGCTGTGGTAGCCGCAGTCTCTCGTTGCACCCGGATACGTTCGCTGCGGCGCGGAGTGTTCTCGCCTGCCGCAACTTGCTGCACACGGCGTGGAGTGTTCTCGCCTGCGACAACTTGCTGCACACGGCGCGGAGTGTTCTCGCCTGCCACAACTTGTTGCGCACGGCGCCGATTGCTAGCGGTAAGTCCACGTGGTGCCGCACGGCGTGGAGCGGTGCCGGTTGCCCCACCTTGCTGTGCACGGCGCGAAGTGCTTGCAACAGCTCGACGTGGCTGCAGACGTCGCAGAGCGGTGCCGGTTGCACCTTCTTGCTGTGCACGGCGCGAAGTGCTAGCGGAAGGTCGTCCTGGTTGCGAACGACGCGAAGGCATGATCTTTGGATAAAATGATAATGGTACCAATTTTTGGAACAACTTTCCGAAAATTTCTTACCGTCTTTTTTTTTAGAATTCGTATAAAACACAGGCACTTTTTAAAGTAAAAACTTTTTCGGATGTGTTCCCCAAATGAACACTGTGAGCGAGTGAGTCCGAATGGAAATGGAAATTTAAGTTCAGATGGAGTTGACAGAACCACGCCACGCTTGCTACGAATTCAGCTTTGGAAAACTTTTCCTTAATAGAACAGCGTTGCCACCTGGTAAATTTTAATGAAACCCTCGTTCCAGGGCTGACTTTTAGCTTTTAAAAGGCTTGAAAACCAGCCGAATATCTGGGGATATTAAAAGCTATTTATGTAAAAACTTTTAATACAAATTATAATACCTTATAAAGGCTTACATTTTTAAGTAAGCCAGCGGAAGTCATTAAATTAAAGGACTTACAATTTTACAAACTAAGGTTTATATACATTAGTTTTATGTACGCATCAGTTTTTTCATAATATTTATAGCTACTTTTTATGGCATTGTTCTGCGAGTGCTAGAAATCAGCGTGACTGTACCTGGCTTAAAAGTTTATTCTATTAGCGATTCACATCTTGATTTGTGTTTGTCACTTATTTATGGCGATTGCCTGGACTTTAAACAATTATTAACATTTCCCCCATACGTGCCTCGAAAGGCAAATAAATAAATACAAAAAATCATTGAAAGTTTCCCCACCACGTCATAAGTTTTCCTACAGACAATAATTTCATTTAGATGAGAATGTGATGTGTCTCCATGGGGCTTGGGGGCACAATTGGGTTTTGTTGTATGGAGCTCGCGAGATCATTATCAAAATATTTTGTACACGAAACAAACATGTCAAGCAAATGTCTTTTTACCCCAACTCCAAAAGAAAAAAATTGTTAAAAATAACAATAATAATTTCAATTGTCTGCCTGCATTTCGAATCGAACGCGTCATGTTGTTTTGATTGGAGCTCGATAAAAAAAGTGCCCCTCTTCTGTTCGCTTTTTGGGGAAAAGTATATCATATCTTCTTATTTATAGGGCAGCTATATATATATATACATTTTGTAGAGGGGAAAACCTGTCGAACTTATCATAAATTTATGCCACTTTTAAAGCAATTAATAAGGGGATTATATGCTGGCAAAGATGATGTGGAAATTTACATAATGGGTATAAAACACTACCTAATGTTGCGTTTCCACTTTTCACATCCACTTCTAAAATATAATACCATATACTAATAGGACAAAAATACCGAGATATATCGATTATTAATAAAACTTCCTGAAAGTTCCTTCTCTAACTTTTGCTTAATTTCTTATTGTTTGTTAAATTTGTAATTGTTTTTGCATAATACTTAATAAAATCAACCTTAAATCATTAAGGGAAGGACTATGGTGAATCATTAAACTCAAAAAGCATAGTTGGACTGTGTCTTTTTCTTGGTGTATTACAGGTCTGTCTGCAAGCACTCGATTTTATGCCCTCTGTACGCACACGTGGGCGTTGAGACATTGGCATGCCCCCATTCATTCATCCCAGCAACCACTGGCACATCCCCAACCACATCCACATCCATCTACATCCATCCAGCAATCCATCCATCCAGATCCAGTGGATCCATTGCCACTCCGGGTCTCCGATTGTGGTGCGTTTTGGCTGGTAAAGGGGCGCTGCTGATTAATCATTTGGCGACTGACAGCTCAACTTTGCGGCCACAACGGGGCAACCCGCTTATTAAATTGGCTTAAGATCGCCGGATAAACTTAATGCAAACGCACACGACCATCAGTACGTGTAGGAATGGGACCCCACAAATGGTTATTATTATTATTATTATTATTGTTGTACGAGTATTATGCATACAAGGGCTTTGTCTACAGCACCCACAGATGTGTGTGTAAATACATTGTTCAATCGCTTCACAAAATTGATTCGATTTCAGAGTCAGATCGCAGATGCGATATAAATCTTATGATTTCAATTAATTTTGCTGAGGGGAGAGTGTGTGGTGTGTGTGTGCACTCATTATCATTATGCCAACTTGGTTAATGTGTCAGCATGGATTTTATAATGATATACTACACACAGAGAATATGTTTTAATTTGCAGCTAATTAAGCTGGAGCTCTCGATATTGAGACTGAACTGTGATTGATTCCAGTCGAATCGACAGGGAATTGTGAATTGCGAATAACAAATGAATGGAAATGAATGAGATGTTTTTTCTAGCGATATTCGAAAGGTGATTCGATAATTAAGAACTCCACTTCCTTGTGGGTGGATTTCTTCAAGCTTAAAATAATAGACCAAACTCAAAGCCAGTTTTATAATTCATTCGGAAATTGTTATGAAATGATTATGATCAGATTGGTTGTTTTTATTATACTGTATAATGAAAAATTATAATTAAAACAGTAATATATGCCACATACAAAAAGGTAAATAATAAGGTCCTATTTTGTTCCGCTTCCTTCTGCTTGCGTACTGGTTTCCTCGGTGGCTTTATGCGCGGTACTTGAGGTATTTCCTAAATTAATTATTATTATTTAAATATTTTAAAATTTCGAAGCTTAATTTTACGTACATTCATCGGCATTAAAGCTAGGGTTCTATTTGGGGTTTCCCTCGAGCGGAGCCTATTAGCAATTGGAGCTTCTATGGCCAACAACTCTATAGCCTTGGGGGACACACATAAAAAAATATAATAAGAGCAAATTCCCAAAATTGGTAATTTAAACAAGTCATACCTCTGCCATTTCCTGGGCAGCTTGTATTCTCCTGGCTTTTTCAGCTAAACGCGCACTTCTTCGTGGCTCCATTGTTTTTTCTAGACAAAACTCTTTGTATTCAACTATCCAAATATCAATTTGAAATAGACTTACTTTAAATTCTTTTGAGAATAAAACACAAAAAACACTTTTAGAACCAGTCTTTTTAGTTTTCTTCACCGAAATGACAAAATGACTTGGCAAAAACCTTTATCTGACACTTGCAACGGAGTTGCCACATTATGGGTTTTACAGGATTGCTACCAATTAGGATAGTCACCGAAAAGAGTACGATTTTCCTACCGATATTAATCCGTGACAAAGCATATAAAATCCATTTAAAAAGTCTACAAGATGTGCCCGTTTTTATGGTTGTCAGCATTTCCTACTTCCTCTACTGCAGTAACATCAATTTGGAATGAGCACCGAGGCAACACCTTTTACTTTCGTTTGGGCCCCATGTCCAGCTGCTGCCGCTGCTGTTGCTGCAACACCCACGACAGTGACTCAAAACCCACATTCGGATATATGTAAACTACAACTCCTGAGCTCAGGCTCATCCATTTTAAGCCAGGCCATAACATAAAAGCGCCCATTAGCCAAATGGTGGGGAGGACTCCTCCGCTCCAGGGACGAGCCGAGCACCGGGGAGACGCCATCACTCGTGCCCGTCTGGCAATCGTGACAGACATTTGGCCACAAGGCGGAACAGGGGATGGCCATCCACCAGGCACACCGAGAATAATGTTTATAGGTAAAAACCTGGGATTTGACAATATATAATAATATAATAAGCATAGTATTTACAAAGTAATAGTGATAAATAGCACTTATAACATTATAATTACAGAAATCATCGAAACTAAATGTCAGGTAATATTTCTTAAGATATTTTCTCCAAAGAGATATGATAATATCGTATAAGTATTGCATACGGTCAGGTAATTCTTCTTCAGAAGAATATACAAGTTAATATAGTTACAGTTATACAAGTTAATATAATGGAAATCTCTATGGTATTTACTTTTGTAAATAATAATCATAATAATCACCAAGTATAACATCGATAAAATTACAGAAATCATCGAAACTTAATGTCTGGTATTTCTTGAGATATTTTCTTCAAGAGATATGATAATATCATATAAGTATCGCAAGAAGAATATTTGCAGCATATCCAAAAGGTTTTTTAGTTTACTCCACAAAATTAGAAACCCAACCAAGTCTTAAGGACCTCTAAAAACCCTTAAAAGTAAACCAAAATTTCCCTATGTGCAATTTCGAAAAAAGCCATTGAAATCGAAAACCCCAAAAAAACTGAAAAAACGGAAAAGCAAGAAACCGCAACGAAACAGGAACCCCGGCTAACTAGTCTGTGGAGATGTGATGTTGGCCTGGTCCATGGTCTATGGACCTGGCTTTTGGGCCAGACGTGCGCCTGCTTTGCATACGACAAAACAATATGCGACATGGCACAAGACAGCCGAACACACAAGACAAGCTGGCTAAAAACGGCGACAACTATAATTAAGCTTAATTGCTGTTTAGAGCGACTGACTGACTGTTTGGGGCAACTTTTTCGTTTACCATTTGTTGTTTTTGTTGGGAGACAGACGCCCACGCACTGCACCGAACTGCACCGCTTCACATATAATTAAATTAAATTTATAATGCGAATCTAGACGCGATAAATAAGCCTAACCAGGTGTCTTTCGGCCACTAGATCTTGGTAATTGAAAACTTAAATCGCACTTATCGCACTCACTCACTCACTCAGTCAGCCGCAGCTTATTGTTTCTCGTGTGTCGGGGAAATTAATTAGCAATTAAAAATGCAGTGCACAGCGATCAATGGATAAATGCTGCTGCAAAGCCCGGCTCTCTTTCTCTCTCTACCTCTAATCTGTTGGAAAATAATTCATATTTATAAATAGACAAACATTATTCAAAGTGTCCGAAGCGAGCCTGTGGCCCGAGAACCGTAAATTAAATCAAAATCAAAATGAAAACGATATGGTCTTATGCCCAGAATTTATAACGAAAATAAAGGCCAGAGTACAGTGAAATCGAAAACACAGAGAAGGGGTCGATAGAGCTACACATAATCGGGGAGTGATCGAATAGGGAATGCCTACTAATAAACACAACAGAATTTCAACACAAGAATTGAAATTAAAGTACTAGAAAATTATTATCTGAGAGAACTTTATATATTTTATTTTCAATTTAAATCTATAATAGCTTTACTTATTAATTCAACTATCTGGTATATATATTTTCAATCATATTCTCTTAACAAATAGGTTTTCTAACACTATATTTTATGACCATAAAAATACCCCAAGATGTTCTGTAAAATGATTAATTAAAGACTCAACCAATTTCGTTCGTTAAAAGCCACCCTTAGCTGATAATTCATTACCATTCCAGAGCACCCTTGGTAAAGGGTACTCAAAGCCATTTGGCCAGTGTCCGCCCACAAAAAAATAAAGGTAAAAAATATATATAGAACCGTCGACGGGGTCGCTTTCGATGTTGTTGTTAGCTGGGTTTTTATTTTTGCTGTAGCCGGCGTGTGACTCAATGCAGCTGCAGTTGATCGACCGATCGATCCGTGGCAAGAAACTATGCATAAAAAATAAATAAAAAATAAAAAAAACTTAAACTGAAACTGAAAACGGTTGCTGCATTTGGCAATGAACTTTTCGCCAGGCAAAAAAAGAGACACTAAAGTCTAGACGGCGGAGGGTGAAAAACCGGAGGCAGCGATGGAAATGTGCTGGCAATTTGACTTTGAACTCGGTCAAGTCGAGACACATTTGTGAAACTGTTTGCATATTTAATTGAACACCTACAACAACAATAAATGATCTGCAGCTGTGTTGCAAAATCGCAATAATAAGGCATAAGCATAATACTTAATAATCAGGCGCAAACAGGCTCAATGGGCCGAAATTGGCCAACGGGCGAAACGGCATAAACCCCACTGAAAGCGTTAAGTCGTGCCTGACCAAAACTAATGACCATATTTACCATATTTACCGCCAAGAGCTGGCTGAGATTCAATCCTAGGAAATTGTATTCTATGAGCAGCCTTGGAAGATATCAAAGTATCCGAGTAAGAGGATGTGACAGGGCCAAGAAAAAATATATAGAGAGTTGGTATAAAAACAATTACTTTGACTATAAGTTTCTCTAGTAAAGTTATTTTTTAAATATATATTTCCTTTTTAAATAGGCAAAAGTTCCAAAACGATTTGCATCTCATTGCTTACAAATGAACAATCGTTTCCTGCAAAACCCACTTCCATATCGAAATCTCTCTTCATATGTCATTCGGATTTGTCGTTTATGAGGCACAGATGATACTTGGCTGTACATGTGGCAGGGATGTGTAGTAGGTATCCGTAAGATACATTTTGATTAATTGTCGGCCACGCGACGATGCGATGCCAATCGGTGGCCCCAAGTGACAAAAATCAATGCAACTGCAAATGTGTGAGATGAGCAAGTGGCCCTGGCAGTCAGTAGACAGAAGACAGCAGCCATAAATCTTCGGGTCGACCCCGGGAGTTCTTTTTTTTTGGAGAGATGTCACAGAGGGCCCACACAGGGTCCTCACCTTATCGAGGATGGGGATCCTCCAGCTATCATGGATCTTGGGCATTCTTCTGGGGAATGCACAGCGGAACGGAAGTTGCTTGCCATCAATCTCAATTAAACTGATAGCCACTGGGCGGAGGAGTAGTCTTCTCGGGTCTTGTAATGATTGTAACTTTTTAATAAGAAGGATCTTCTGGTTCAGGTTTCCATATACATTTAGCTTGTAATTTATGCCATTTATGGCCCATAAGTTGTGGCCCAAAAGTGTGGCTAGTGCCACCTCTGCTGTACTTCAAGTGACAATCTAACACTCGCAACGAGCTCTTTAAATTGCGCACATCCGCCGCGGCAAAGGAGCCGCAATAATTTACAATGTTATAGCGCAAATAAACGCAAAAAGGGGGGGAGGGGCGCTGATATTGGCCATAAACTGAGCCAAGAGCACGTGTAATTTGGCCAAAAAACATTTCCATTTCCATGCAAATCGCTGGCAGCAACAGCCCCCTTGCAATGGCAATCGCAATTGTGTTGCGTGTTGCACAATCGTTTGAAGTTGAAATGAGCAGAAAAATCCAAGAGGAACGATAGACAACCTGCTGCCTACACACCACAAAAGCCTCCAAAGAACCAAGAACCAAGAACTGAGAACTGCGAATCGAAAGCCCAGAGAACATGACATCAAACGGCAAACAAAGACCAATTACATGCAAGAAACAAACTTGGAGACAAACAAACAAAGTTGCTAAGCCAAAGACGAATAGGGAAATACCCTGGGCTAAGTTAAGGAAGAATTTATAAAGTCTATAAATATTATTTATACTTTATAAAAAAGATATAACTTATGTCTTTCGAAGTTTAAACTTTATGTTTATAAACAAAATTCAAGTTTAACTTCCATTGAACGTTGTCAGTCAAACCATGTTATAATTTATCATTCTTAATGTATTTCTCATGAAATTAAAACTTATTATATTTATATTAAATGGACCAAAACATATCCCCTTAAAAAACCATAGTTTCTCGATACCAAAAGTGTCGCAAAGAACTTCAAATGGCGCATGGGCGGGCAGGCGGAAAACGTTGGCCAAGAAAATAGAAAAAAGACTTCGAGTCACATTTAAGCCCACGAACTGAGTCACCATGGAAGATGCGTTGGACGTTTGAGTCTCGGTTGTTTGGTTTTTCTTTTTCCTTTGGTCGGAAAATCGACTGTTGCATGCTAAACGTTGCTAAATTCAAGAGCGGACAAACATTTATCACACTCCGCCTATCGCTGGGCCCCCTCTTTTGCCGTCGCTAATTAATGATAATGTCAGGAACTAATATGCAGGAAGGGAGGGAGGATGGACCCACCAACCCCCTGGCCAGTTTATCATCAGTTAACGTTTTCATTAACCATATGTCACACGCACGTCCCTCGCATTTTTCCAACCCCTCAGCAGACAGGGGATCCTGGAAAATTAAATTATGCGCTCGAGGTAGCGTGTCCTGCCACGATTTCTGACCAACTTTGGATGACTCAAAAATAACATAAAAATGC